CCTCGGTGAGGCACCGCTTGGCCGTCGAGCTCGCCGTTGTACTGCCGCCGTCGCGCTCGCCGCTCGCGCCGTGTCGCCATGGGCCACGCTGCCCACTCCCGCTCGCCGGTCTCCTTCCGTCCTCACCAGGCCTGCTGTCGCGCTCACCCACTCACGCTGCGCCGCCATGCTGCCCGCGCCAGGCCCGTCCAAGGTCCATCCGCGACAAGGTTGGGACGGGGAGGGCGAGGTCACCGGAAGCGTCGCCGAGAGCGTCGGCGTGCGAGCGGCTTCTGCCCGAGCACCCGGCTTGTTTCATTCTGGTTCTGCATCAGGCTATCTCCAACAACAACACCTAAAATACAAGGCACATTCAACGTTTGGGTAGCGCTACAGTCAAAGGGTTCAATACCCATTCGACATCCTCTCCAACAACAGGACTCAAAAGAGAATCCTTTCTGCAAATGGGTTTCCAGGAGAGAGGATACTCATATTTAGGTTGTGCCTCTCAGACAACCCAAAATGGGTCTCCTGTATAGGTACTCTGTTGGGGGCTGATTTTGGGTCTTCTGCTACCCATTTTGGGTTTGGGTGCCTATATGGGTCACCTGAGACAGTCTTAGGTTCGACCCTGGGTGCTTCGTGGGCCAGCAAGGCTTAGGGGGTGTTTGGTTGCCCCTCCTAAATTTTAGTCGTTGTCCCATCGAATGTTTTGGACACATGCATGGAGTATTAAATATAGACTAATTACATAGTTTGCGACTAATTTGCGAGACGAATCTTTTAAGCCTAATTAGTCCATGATTTGACAATATGATGCTACAGTAAACATGTGCTAATGATAGATTAATTAGGCTTAAAAAAATTATCTCGTAGAGTACTGACGGATTATGTAATTTGTTTTTTTATTAGTATCCGAACACCCCATGCAACATCCTTCCGACACACCTCCTAAATTTTAGTCACTGGATCCAAACACCACCTTATTTGAAGGGAGGGGCGGTTCGACCCTGATCCACGCGTAACAGGAATAGGGGCAGAGGGACGGCAACAGGGCGCACCGATCAGCCTCCTGCGTGCCAGGCGCCCCTGCAGCCTACAGCCTGCAGCCCAGCTCCGTCCTGCGTGGATTGTTGCGTGGATTGGCCCTGCGAGAGTGCTAGTGCTAGGCTGCTAGGCGCCTAGCTACTGGCCGGCCAGCACAGATGGACGAACGCGGTCTGGTTTGCGGGGAGCCTGCGAGCTCCGTGGCGGCCTTGCTGAGCGGGCGGCCACGATAGTAGCGGCAGCGCGCAGGGTCGCGAGGCAGGTCCGGGAAGCTTCGTCGGCTAGGCGAAGTAGTCGGAGGTGACGGAGAAGACCCATTCGACGGTGGAGAGGAGCGAGATGAGGAGTGCGAGCAGAAGTGGACACGGCAACACCGGCGTTGACCGGCGAGCCATCACGGGGAGACCCTGCACGGACGTGGCGCGAACAGGCTAGCCTGCGCGAGGGCTTGGGCGCACGGGATCTGCAGGGGAAAGATGGAAACGAGGCTGGTCCTCCCGGCGCAAATATCGCTGATTTCTCGCGTAGACTCAGAGAGACGTCGGGTTTTTTTCCTCTCTCAGAGCATCTCCTAGAGTTTCCTAAATTTTCTTCCTAAAACACCATATTTTCCAACTCCTAAAAAGATATTGGAAGAAAAAAAACAAGTCCATCTCAATAGTACCCAATATTCCACTCTAAAAAATTAAAATTTGGTATCACTTGGATTTTTTTTCTTCGACGCCACCACCGCTCCTCCTTCCTTTGTCGTGCGGCTTGTGCCCTAGCCCTGCAGTCCCAGCCGGCCGTGACCACCTCCTAGCAAACCGGCACCACCAGCAGTCATGCACGTGCATCGGCTGGATATCAGCTAGTAGCAGGAACAAGCTAGCCATTGGCAGCAGCAGCAATAGTTGCCGGCCATCTACTAGGATCACAGTGGCATGCAGGAACCATCAGTTTAGTACAATCAGCGAGAAGAAGCTGAAGCACACAGCCGGCCAGCTTGCCCCTTCGACTCTGACCACTGCATCGCGGAGATGGATTATCGATTTGCATGTCGCTACTCATGCCTAGATGTACATCAGTACATGTACTACTAGCACGTGAAGAAGGAGAGAACTGACCGACATGGGGAACTCCATCTAGGATGGCTATGGTGGCAGGGATAGCCCCATTGTCCCTGATGATGGCCTCCACCTCCATGGCGGTCTGGAGATTCTTCGGGTACAGCATACCTACACGGGACGCGTGAAGCATGTTGCAGTCAAGGGACATCCATCAAATGGAGCACGCCATGGAATTGAATTGAATCGAACTTTGATGCGCCAAGCTAGCCAGAAGAGGGCGGCGCGGCGAATGAAGAGGGAACCGGAAGGAAAAGGCAGGAGCAAGCTGACCGTGGGAGATGGTGGTGGACTCGAGGGCAGCGACCGCGCCACAGCGCGCGAGAGCGGCCGCGACCTCTTTCTGCGCGACGAGAGTCCACGTAGTTTTACACGGAAGAGAGAGATTTTTCCCAACTTCTAAAATATTAGGAGCTTGTATTAGGAGTTGTTGGATTTCACTTCTTTCTAAAAAAACAAGGATTAGGAGAAGGTTTAGGGATTGGAGATGCTCTTACTACCATAAATACAATGTCACATCAGCAAAATTTCATAAATACAGGGATATTAAACAGACACAGAAACTATGGCGTTTGCATGGAGAGTACCCTCGGCAACAATTACGTTGACGCTATCAGGGGTGTTACATGATACATGTTCCTCCCCCTCAACGCCACCCAAGTTTATAGCAGCTTGGATACCCTGCAAGCAAAGGCCTCGTTCGTTTGGTTGAATTTGGCTAAAAAACAAATCAAAACACTGTTTCAGCTAAATTATTGTGAGAGAAAAATAATATTTCGACTAAAAAAAACAAATTAAATTTTAAGACAAACGAACGGGGCAAAAGTGGTTAACACGCCCTCTTCATGTGATCACCACGTCGCCATCGCTGTCCCGGATTAAAAAGCCCCAGCCGCCAATCTTCTCCCCCTGAATAAAAGACTCATCACAGTTCAGTTTTAGGACTCCATCAGGCAGCAGGCAGCTTTTCTCAATGTTGCATCTGACGAACTGATGGCACTTGGGCATTCAGTGGTTCTTGATACATTTCATAAGCTCTTATCGCTTTGTTATCGATTCAGCCGCCCTTCTACGCCCTTCTTCCCTTATATTTCTCACCGCCCATAGAAACCAGAATGTCTTCCTTCTCCTTCAACATCTGATCAAGCACCTCGTTACGTTGATTTAGCTGCTAATTTCGTTATGTTGATTGATTATGAAATATTTACACTCGTTCGTTGTGCTGTTATAATGCCCTGCGTGTAGCATTGTTCCGTGGCATCCTCTTCAAGATAAAGATACAGGTACCCCTAAAAAAAAAGATACAGGTAGACCTAGCCGGACAAAATGTGCAAGTACCTCGAAAATTCATGGCAAAAATACTTAAAAGCGGGGGTGTCAATTGCAAATCCAGGGCAAAGGCTCTCAGTGAAAGGCCAGGGTTTTCCACAAGCCAAGAACCATTGGAAGAGGCCTCGCGCTTTCCCCCTTGTCACGCTCGCGAATCTTACCGTATCCTTCTACCACGCCCTCCCGCGGAAGAACAGGAAGTGAATTCTTCAACAGGAGAGCAAGATTTCTCGAGGAACCGCCAAGAAAGGGGAGCGTGACGCAAAAGGGAAAGAAGAAATCACCCTTCCTCCGGCCTTTGGTTCGGTGTGGTTAAAGCAAGAATAATCATCATCGAGCCATCGATTGGTCATCACGGATTCAAGGAACATCTGATTAATTCCAACAAATCCATTTGGTAAAAACAAAAGAAACAAAAATAAATGCAAACAACCAAGTACAAATCTCATGACACAATGTATGGGAAGTAAATTGTTGGACCTACGAGAAAATGCGAGGATCTATAGTAAGAAGCCGCATGTCCAGAGGTCCAGAGGTATGATCTCGCATCTCTTCGGAAACCAAAGCCAGGATCCGCATAGCGGCGACCAGGGCTTCAGATCTTTCAAAACGCGAAGAGTGCTTGAGCAAAGAACATCTCGAAGCAAACCAATCGAAGAAACAAGAACTAGATTTCACTTATGTGATCAAACTTGTGACCAAAAAACGAGACGAGAAAGAGTAGTATCGAATTTTGGAGGGGCAAAAACAGCAAACCGAGAAGAATCCTTGGAACGGAAACGTAGACAGTGATGAAGACGGCGGCGCGGAGGACGAACGAGAGGGATGATGCCTTTGCAGCGTTATATAGGGCCTTGGTTAGGGCATGCGCACGGCTGATAGGGCAAATTACAGCTATACCCATACCGGCCGCGTGGGCCAAGAAATGATTGTGTTCGGCCCAACCCGCACGCCGCACGTTGACGCAGGCCAGCAGGGCCGTTGTCGTCAGGGATGCCAATGGACCGTAATACGAGAAATCCTTCCGCGATACACCCCGGTTATATTTTCGGGTACGTGGTGTTGTGCTTTGTTAAGGTCTGAACTTCGATGCTGATTAACCGTTGCTGCAACACGCTGATTTGAACACAAGTCGCTAATGAAAAATGGTCAGTATTTTCCGATGAAGAGCACCCTAGCGTTGGGGCACAGCCTGAAACTGATTGTCCTGGGAGTAGATACGAAACAAGGTGTTCCCAAACATCCGTCAGTCCAGCAAATGCGCAATGGAGCAGACCAATTGCTCATCACAATCAACCAACCGTCAGTCCAGCAAATGCGCAAGCAATTGCTGGGAAGCAAACCAATTCCTGTTCCATTCCATACCAATACCAGACGAGAGAAACCCAGCAGATGTTACAGCATCAGAACAGAAGCACATCCGGCTCCGTTCCTGCCACTTGACAGCAAAAAGAATCATCCCTCCCTCACGAATGCCTAATTCTGCAAAGACTGCATGATTCCAGGGTGCCTACTGCTACTACTAACTACTGCCACTGCCTACAACAGGAGGATGACGCTGAAGAGCAGCGCGGTGGAGACGATGCGGGCGAGTGACGAGACGTCGCCGAACGCCCGGTGCGCGCCGGAGCCTCCATCCGTGGAGTTCGTCGACGGCGCCAGCGAGGTGCCGTTCATCAGCGACGTCCCGTTCTTCCCAGAATAAACGCAGGATCCGTGACCTGAAGAAAGAAGCACCCGACACACAGGCAATGAGTCAAACCATATGCCTAAAACAGCAGAAGCAGATGGCAAGCATGGTTCTCGGGTGGTCTCTTACTTGGATCGGTCGTCGTGACCACCGCGACGCCGCTGAAGTAGCACGTCCCGGAGCCCATTCCCATGCCGTGGTAGTAGGCGTTGAAGGCGTACGTGGCGTGCGCCTCCACGGTGTCCGGGTCGTAGCACGGCTGGCCCTGCATCAGCACGGAGCAGTCCACCTTCCCGGGGCCGCACGACCAGTCCAGCGCCGCCTGCAGCATCTTGGGGTCCGCGCCGTCCCGCGCCACGCAGTAGGTCTGGTTCGTCGTGTCGTTCGCCAGCAGGACGCCGGAGCCCGTCAGGTGCAGGGTGTAGGCCGGCACGCCGTTCATGTCGAACAGGCCCCAGTACTTCTCCGACGTGGAGCCGGGGCGGGTGTCCTCGTCGTACAGCTCGTAGATGTAGGTCGGCACGGCCACCCCGGGGTGCTTCGGCGTGCCGGTGCTGTTCATCACGTGCCGGATGAGGTTGCTGTTGTACGTGTCGGCGTTGTCGGAGGTGGCGTCGGGCTCGGAGGAAGGGTCGCCCTTGTGCGGCCACCCGGTTTCCGTCACCATCACCGGCACGTTGGTGACGTTGATGTACGCCATGGCGAAGTAGGCGGCGTCCACTACCGCGTCGAAGACGTTGGTGTAGTGCAGCAGGGTGTTGGTGTCCACGGCCTCTTTGTTGGGCGGCAGCGGCCGGAACAGCGCATAGTCCAGCGGGATGACGCCGTTGGAGCGCATGTAGTCGTAGTACGGGTACACGTTGAGCATCAGCGGCGACCCCGTGGACTGCAGGAACTTGAGCATCGGCACCAGCACGCTGTCCAGCGACCGGTTGAAGAAGGCCTGCGACGGCGGGAAGGAGTCGAGGATGATGGACGACGAGTGCGGCGTCGAGATCTTGATGTACCGGTCCAGCGCCGCGGCCACCAGCGCGTTCTGGAGGTAGCGCATGGCGGGCATCAGCAGCGGCGCCGCGTTGGGCTGCGCGGACAGCACCTCGGAGCCCACGGCGATGGCCGTGATGTTCACGGCGGGGAAGTGCGCAGCCACGTTGCGCGCCACCCAGTTGGCCGCCGTCGCGTTGGAGTTGCCGATGGCCAGCAGCTGCTCGTTCGGCACGGACACGATGACGCGGATGCCGGTGTTGGAGAGCGCCGCAAGCATCGCCGGGTCAGCGTCGTAGAGGCGTACGTGGCGAATGTTCTGCGAGCGGAGCAGCGTGGTGATCTGCGTCGGCGCCGGGACGGACGACATGGCCGTGCCAATGTTCACGCCAATGTACGCACCTGCACGCAATGACAACCCAAAAAAATTGAGAAACCAAAGTGTTAGAAATCTTTTTTTTTTTATAATCAGCCAGTTCCCTCGTTGGTTTTAGCTACCGTGTTTTTCTATTGCAAAACGCCAAAACTTAAGAATCAGATGTTTTTTTTTGCTGTGATTTGATTAATGCAAGACAGGAAGTGCGTGGTAAGGCAGGAATCCAGATAGAAAAACGCATTCTTTCGAGCAAAGCTGGGTGGAACAGAGAATTTTAAAAAAATGTTCGTATACAGAGAAAACAACGAAGGACCCAAAATGCATGATATCATGCGTTTTCCAAGCGAAAAAAAACAAACAAAAGGGAAATCGAGATATGGAAGAGGACGCCGAGCTAGCTGTAAAGCACAACACAGGCCAACTTGATACGGGGGAAAGACGTTGGAAACAGGAGCCCCCCGGCCATCCACAGGAAATCATGGGCACTGTGCAGTGGCCAGTGGCCACACTGCATCAGTGATGCAGGCTGCTGCTGCTGCACTTGCACGGTCAAGCAAGCGAGCAGCTGTGCCGCATCCGCGAACGACGTGACTTGTTTTAATTGCAGCGGGGCCGGCACAGCCAGAAACAAGACACTGCCAGGTGGTCCCAGCAACTACTCTGTTCAACCCAACAGTCAAACGACACACTGCGCGGCACTGCAATCAGCGACGCTCGAGGACTGGAAGGGCGCAGAGCAATCAACAGGTGATCCGTGACGCTAATTACGTACTAGTACTGCTAGTCATTTCGCTACTTATAAGCCGTATTTTTTTAAGCCAACTATTTTCATCAGCCAAGCGAACAGAACAATTAGCACCGATCCCACCCCATGATGAACACCGAATCAGCCCCAAGAGCGTGGCGATAAGGCGGGGTCTGTTCGGCTGGTATTAAAGCAGACTGATAAGACGATTGAAACTGTTTTATTATAAGAGAAAATACTGTAGATTTTAACTGATACGGCTGATAAGTTCAAACGAACATGCCATCCCCTTAAGCTTATTGGCCAGAATCAGTTCTCCATCCTCAGGTATAGGAACAGTGTTTTCTAACAAATGAGCCCTTTGAATCAGCGGTAGCTGCACTAAGCCCTGCCGAAAGCAGCGACTGGTAGTGATTACTCTCACTAGAAGGACCGAGAACGGACTGAGTTACTGACGACCTTTGCACAACCTGTGACCGACAGCCCATGGCATTTGCCTGGCACTGAGATTAGTGGCACCACCTCAGCACGGAGAAAAGATGGAGCACCACTAGTGCAGACAGGTAGGCCCCAGAAAGGCTGATGCTAGTACTAAAGACGTACAAACTCCGAGGCAGCCCTCTTCAGGCTAAACTTACGCACAAAGCGATCAGAGATTCCAGGCTACGCTGTTGCAAACTTTTTCCAACGGAAAGCTGCGTTGCCTTGCTACCCCCGTTCAGTAAGTTTGGCCATTGATAGACCAAGTTGGCAAGTGTTTATGTAGTACCATACTACTAGCAGTATTCCTTCCCTTGGCTGCAAGTACTAGTAAAATCTTATTCCAGGGCCAGTCTGATTAATACTATGATAATGACAGTGGATGTTCCTACCAACACGCATAACCCCCATATAAAAAACAGGCAGAGCATGGGGGCAGGATGTCCAGTCAAATCCAAGCCCCAAAAGTTAGCTGTGCCGGTAAACTAAGCTTAGGCTGTTCTAGTATCTGAGCAAACTCCTTTTTAACATTACCTTAGGTGTTTATTGTATTATAAATTAATTTCTGCTAATCTACTGAGAAGACGGCTAATGATAGAACTAATATAGGCAGACCACAAGACGACAAACATAGCCGCAACGGAAAGGGACGCCACTGAATCCACTGGTGTCAATCGCACTGTGGATTCTCCAAGATTGCAACGAGAAACAAGCATATGCATAATACAATCTGAGCAGAGAAGCGACGCAGTGAACAAGAACGTGGAGATCGATCCATGCAAGCGGAACCAAAGAAGAGTACTAAGATGGAGGCACAGGACAAACACATCCAGAGCTGCATAACGGATCGAAACAAAGAGCACGAGGAAACTTACCATCTTCACCGTGAACTGCTGCAGCGGCCAGCAGGAGGACGAAGGAGACGAAGAACAGCTTCCTCATGTTGCCGCAAGGAGAAGCCCGGCCCTCGGGAACTTGCAGACGCTCTGTTGGGTCTCCCCTCCCTGTCCCTCTACCAACGGGCAAGAAGAAAAGCACCTACCGCCTTTACTGCAACCTCCAATCTGCCTGATCCAGCATTCGATCGAGCAGGATGCCAAGAGAGCAGGCCAAGAAGTGGAAGAAGGGGGAAGAAGAGACGGGAAGGAAGGGATGGAATGGAGGCAGGCAGAGGCAGAGAGGTGTGAAGGCAACTTGGGGTTATAAATATGAGAACACAGAAAAGGAGGGTCTTTTGTAGAAAAGCAAGGCGGGGCGGGGGCCAAAGGGAGGAGGAGCCCATCGGTGGGCGAAGCTGCTGAGTGACATCCAGCCTCCTACACGCCACTGACGGGTGGGACCGATTTAAGCTTGCCCCACATTTCAGTGAAAAGGCTCCCTCTTCGGAAGCAGCGCGCTTAGCCGGTGGGCAGGCAGCACGGATCACGCTGCGCATGTCAGGCATCCAACGGCTTCAGCACGATCTCGGGCCGGCACGAGGCGGTGGCGCTTGCTTTGCTCTTGCGCACCCATGCCGCCCCGACCCATACGTACATGTGTACTGTACCAGTACTGTTGAGGTACAGACCGCTAAAAAAACTGAACCCCACCTGTCAGTCACTCGGTACGCGGAACGAATGGTCGATTTTTGCAGTGGGTGTGGGCTGAGTAGTGAGTACAACGAGAAGAAAAGCTCTCGCGCGTCCACCGATGCGTGGGGCCAGCGCCCGAGCCCACACGTCAGCTACAGCGGAAGCGCTAGGCGCATGGCTGCATGGGGAGCGGGGACAGCGCCGCAGGAGGGACAGCACGCTTTGCGAGGAGGAGGAATAGGACGGGACGGGGTCTGACGTGGCGCAGCAACGGTCAAATTTTGCGAGCGCCAGCCCGGCGGTGGTGGTAGCAGCAAGCGAGGGCAGCGCCGGTTGGCCATGATGCTCACTGGCTCCTTCGGTTTTTCGGCTTTCGTCCCAACGGTCGTCTCCGCAGGCGTCGCCTCGGCGGCAAACGGCATGCAGGTCGTACGTACGAACGGCTGCCCACCGGCAGCGCTTTTCATCTTTCCGCTTGGGATTTCGGACGAAGGACGGACGCGTCGTGGGGGTCAATCTGATCGGTATGGGCAGGCAGTCCATGCTTCAAAGTTTCAATTCAACTCTCGACGCTGCATTTGAGCTCATTAGACTAGTTTCCCGCACACCCTCACCCACGATAAAACGCTAAGACCGTCTCCGATAACCCCAACCCAAAATGACTTATTCATTCATTTATGTACCACTATGGTAAATAGTTCAATACATATTTTTTATCTGCTCCAACAACAAGACCCAAAAGACAACTCTTTCTACGAATGAGTCTACAGGAGAGATGATACTCAGATTTGGGTTGTGCCTCTCTTAGCAGCTAAAATAGGTCTTCTATATATATATATATACTCTGTTGAATGATATAGATATTGTGTTGGAGACCCATTTTAGATTTGAGTTTCACAATAAGTCTACTGTTGGAGACAGCCTAAGGGCTTGTTTGATAAGCTGCCCTTGCCCAGCACAGCTCGCTCGCCTGCTCTTGCCAGCCCGAGCACGACAGCTATGGTGCGACGTCACGTTTGTTTCATCTGGTCCGGTCTAGCTCGCTTCAACTGAGATTGTGTTTGATTTCTAGCACAAATCGGTATGGCTTCTCTGCACTAGACATTTGGTATGCTTGCCACCACACGGTCAACTTTCTATCCTTATTGGCATTTCATCGCGCACCCAAATGACCTATTCCACCGCGGCCATGGCCGCTGGCGAGCTCGAGGCCACCGCGTGCGGTCGACGCTGTACTCGGGGCACTCCGCGATGACCATGTTCCGGTGGCGAGGCCGCCATGAGCCACACCCAAGACGTGGATGGAGGAGGCCTGGAGCATCGAGGAGGTGGCGTTCAACATCCCCGTCCTGTCGGTGGTCTGCTTCATCCCGCCGTCCGGCTCCGTTGAAGAGGCCTGCGAGTTGTCGACCTAGTCGCAGTCCCACGGCGAGCACGCGAAGACCGGCGCCGTGCACCCCTCGCGTGTGGTCGCCGTGAAGCGCACCCACGCCAATGCCGCTGTTGCCGAATGAGCTCCGTGGCCCTATTCCTTGGCGCTCGTTGCGGCGTCCCAGTCCCACCGCACCGCCAGTGCCGGTAGACCTGCGGCTACGGGCGCATGCCGGCGCCGGGGCCGTGCCGACGAGCTTGTTGCCGAGATCGGCACCTGCGCCATGACCTCGAACTCCACCACCCCTAGCTGCTGCTGCTGCTGGGCGCCATCCCCGTTGAGGTCGAAGGCGAACACCGCGTCCGGCTGCGTCTTCTCCCGGTGGCCGCCGAGGGACAACGCGGCGTAGTGCGGCGGCTTCTAGAACAGGACGAAGGCCCTCACGCCACGGTAGGAGATGGCTGACCCGTAGGAGGTGACCCAACCGCTCACCTTGTAATTTACGAGCTCGCTAAGCACCGAGATTTGGTCCTAAAAAAAATTACCGAAACAAGTTCCTCGGTTTTTAAGTTTTAAACTCACACGAAATGATGAACAACTCTTATGTGATTTACCTTCTAGTTGAGAGGAATCAAATAAAAACCTAAGTAATTCATTTAGTGCATAAATCTATTAGTGAAAATCCTAATAAGAAAAATATGATACACAGCTTTAATTGTTGGGCATGAAAAACTATTTTTATAAACAAAAATCAAATATCACTTGTATATAGCACTTAAATAAAGTTTAGAGTGCAAGTGAAGTAGGTGGAAATGTAACATTCATTTTAGGAGAATAAATACTATTAGTTAGTATTTTGGGACTTCCAAAATCAAACTTGGAATTAAGGAGGGTCATTTTCGTTGTTAACTAATACTTGAGTTTATGTTAGAAGTATTATTCTTTGGCGAATTATATTGAATAAACGTGTTAAATAATCCTTAGATGTTTTGTTTCTATGAGTTAGCATGAAGTATGAGCTAGGTCATGACATGTTGTCTAGTTGAAATTGACGAGGCTTAGACCGTTTAAAAATTCAACCAAAAGTGTTGGGGAAGGTTAATTCTAATCGAACATCGAATTTGTTAAGTCCGAAATGATAATGGATAATGCTATGTTGTCGTTTAAATTTTAACAAAAATGCTTAAGAGATGGCTTCATATTTTGACATCGTTGGTTGTACCAAGGTGAGTGCGCAGGCTTGGTACAAGTAGTTGTGGTGTTGGGTGGTGCGTTGCTCGCGCAAAAATTCTTCGAACTACGTTGGAACGCGCTGTGAACTATGGTTTGGTGCCTGGTTCACGAACCGCCGTCCCGCGTGACGAACTCATGTTGGCACCTCCCTATCTCGCTCTCTAGACGTGAGGTTTGTTTCGCCAGCTAGGTGTTAGTACCGACTTTAGATTAGTGGAACCGGTTGAACCCGAGTTGAGTTGATCAACAGCTTTTGTATCACTTTAAAAACCGTGCACATCACCGCTCGTTGTGGCGCAGGCCGTGTCCACGGTCACCGCACGCACTGTCGTTCCGGCCCTTTCTTGGCCGTGGTCATGCCGTGGTTGGCCTTGCGGGCTGCCGGCCACGCATCAGGATGGGGTGGCCTTGGCCGCCACCGCGGGGCGACTGCGCTGCTAGGCTACCATGGTGTGGCCGTCACGTGCGCGCTGCTGGCCAAGCCGTGCACGGGCCAAGTTGTGGCCGCTCAGCCGCTGGACCGACGTGGCGCCCGTCTCACCGCTCAAACCACCTACCAAGCCAAGCTCGATGCCGTCGCATAGCCTGCTGCATCACAACGTCGCGTTGTTGTGTGCGCGTGGCCGCACGCAGGCACGCCTTAATGGCTCTGTCCGGGCACTGGCAGCCGCGTTGCTTCTCGAATTATAATGCGCGGCTGTGGCATCCCAGCTCAATTCAGCGCCATTGTAGCAAGGACTCATAACCAGCTAGCCGTTCGACCGCGTTAAGTTACCTTAGATGCCCTCCATCATGTAAATTCGAGGTTCTGCTCACCATGGGCAATGTCGCCGTCGTGACTGGGAACGGGAAAGAAAGGTAGGATTGCAGTGGTAATAGTTCAATTGCTCGCGGCTCTAAGCTCATCTTGACTCCCTACAACTGATGCTCGCGCCGTTTGGGCCAGGGTGCTCTCCACTGGTGCGGTGACGCGACGGTGCCACGCCTGGAGCACCGCTAACCTAGCTGCGTGCATGTGGCCAGGCCACCTCGACACCCCTCCACCTCAATCGCCACCGCGGCATGAATTCCGGTGAGCCGCTGATGCCTCTCCACCATCTCTACTCTTCCGAGAGTACGTAGGCTCGTAAGAATGGCCGTGCCGCCGCCGCGGAGTACTGCTTGCCGTTGCAGCTCGCGTTAGTGCATCCTAGAGCCCCTAACCGCCACCTATCCCTACAGATGAAGTCGTAGATGGTGATCGGCCCGCTATGGTGGTCGCGATAGGTCTAGCGTGGTCGGCGCAGCCGCTACTGCCGCCGGAGTGCTGCACCGTCGCGCGCGGGCGTGCCAGGGACCGCCCGCGTTGCGAAGGCAATCCTTGTCGAGGTGTTTTGTGCATAACTCTAGTCTAGTAAAATACTACCGCCCTGTGTCGTTTGATTTCCTAAGAGCACAAATCCTCTTTTGCAAAATGGCCACGCGCTGGGCTCCCTCGTCTTGGGCCGTTGCTGGGCTTGCTGCTGCGCGCGCCTACATCCCCACGCTGTGCTGTTGGGCCGAATAGGTGGATGTTGGCCCTTTTCTTTTCCAAAAGCACTTTCTGATTTAATTGCTAAAGGCAAACTTGTAAATTCAAAATAAAACTTTGCAGGAAAACAAAAATTGTGAAACTAATTTTGTTAAGTTTCTAAAATCATGATCCATCTGCTAGTGTAGTTGGTTCATAGGGTTCTAAAATATTTCGCGGTTGCTTTAAAGATTTAACATGCTCTAAAAATTATTAA